TCGGCGCGGCGGCTGGGACCGCTGGGTCTCCGCCTCTCCCCCTCCCCCGTAGGCTTTGCTCTGTTTAACTCTCCCGCTGCCGCGCTGCAGGAGTCGCGCCCGGCTCTGCCCTGGGCGGTGGGTTGGACGGGGAGGCGGGAGTCGAGCGCTCGTCCGGCTCCCGAGTTCCGATGACAGGCTTTTCCGCTCGTTCACGCCGACTCCATGGACACGCATGGTTGCCTCGACCCGTTTATGAGACTGAGTTACCCAGCGCTCTGCACTCCCTAACTCTGCCCCCACCTCCCCATGAGGAGCACCGAGGTCGAGGCCAGGGAGAGGAGTGGGGGGAGGGATGGAGAGAAGACGCTGCATCGCCCTGGGCTCACCCCAGCAACTTGGCCCCAGATTCCAGGCTGGCCCTCGATGATGCATTCTTTTTGAAGCAACTTAAATGAGGTTTTTAAAATTATTTATTTAATTTTATTTATTCATTCATTTTATTTTTATTTGACCAGACACACACACACACACACACAGAGAGAGAGAGAGAGAGAGAGAGAGAGAGAGGCAAAAGAGAGAAAGAGAGAGAGAAAAGGGGAGAAGCAAAGCCAGCAGATCTAGGACTAGAACCATGGTTGGCCATGTGGGAGTGTCCAGCACCTTAGCCACCACGCCACCTGCTGGTCCCCTTTAAATGAGTTTTTGATCTTTCAGTGAATGAGGTCACAATTACGCGGCCTTTCCAGCCCTCAGAATATCCAAACTCCTTTCCGTGACCTCCAGGGCCCTAGATGACCTGGCTCACAGCTAGAGCCTCTGATTTTCTGTCCTGAAGATTTCCACGCTGCAGCCCCAGTGGGCCTCAGTCAAGCTGGCCGAGCGTAACCTGCCTCAGGGCCTTTGCACGTGCAGCTCCCTCTGTCTGGAAGTCTTCCCCCGGCTTCTCTCAAGGACTCTCTTTTCTTGCAGTCTCATTCAGATCCAGCGTCTCCTGGGAGGCCTTTCCTCATCTCTATCAAGAGTGGCCTCCCCTTGGGACCAGCAGTTAGTGTAATGGCTATGTCACTGGACTCCCATGTAGACGACTGCAGTTCTAGTCCCTGACCCGGTGCCTTAAAACTCACGCTGGGCACATGTGCGTGTGTGCCCAGGATCCCGAGAGGAGAATGGAGGAGAAGGGGTTGTGGCGTGGCCATCCCCCTGGGGGGTGATTTCTCCCTTTCTGTCTCTCTGTCTCTCTCTGTCTGGCGAGTGCACATGCCCTATAGCAAAAACCTCTTTTGTGGGCCCCCCCCTGCCGATACTCCCACCCCAGCCCTCCGTCACATTGCTCTGCTTTTCCACGTTGCACTTCTAGACACCGTTCTCCTAGTTTCCCTGCAGTCTGGCCACTGTCCTTTCTGCATCCTCAGGGCTCTGACCTCGAGAGTTGGGGACCTCCTAGGACTGAGTCCTTGGCCTGCTTCTCTCTCCCCTGTCCGTGTCCAGTGATCTCATCCAGTCCCAGGACTTAAATACTATGTAAATGTCAGCGAGGCCTAAATTTATATCCAGAGCGCCAGACTCATTTATCCAGCAGCCTGCTTGACATCTCCACTAGCTGTCTAATAGCATGCAGAGTAACGTGGCTAAAAGAGGCGCCGTGTTCTCCGGCCCCAAGCACTTCTCTCCCAGTGTTTCCCACCCTAGGACACGCGGCTCCCAGCTGCTCAGGCTGAAAACCTAGGATACATCCTTGCTCTTTTCTCTTTCTTTCTCTTTTATAATCATCAGAAGGTATATGAGCTAGCCAGAGAAAGAGAGCACCCCCCAGTTGAGCGTGGTCACGCTTCAGTCTCTCCTCTTCCGTTTCTCACCCTACCAGGGTCCTGAGCATTTATGTATGCAGGCTTGGGGTATTTTTTAAGCGTCCTGGACTGGGATTAGAACTGCAGTTGGTCATGTGGGATCCAGCTTTCTGTGTGCAGCTACAGAGGGGTCCCCTTTCCCATTTTTCACGGGTTCCATTTCTGTAAGTCTCTAGCAAAACCCGGGAGCTCTGCATCTAAAGTACATCACCCTGCACCCTGGATCAGCCTCTTCTCTCCATTGTTATTGGGATGGTCCTGGTATAAACCATCATCTCTCATCTGGAATACTGCAAGAGGTTCCTTCACGGCTGCCTTTGCCCCTTTTAATTTTTTTTTGGAGAGGTTTTTGCTATAGGGCGCGTGCGCTCGCCAGACAGGCAGAGAGAGACAGAGAGACAGAAAGCGAGAAATCACCTCCCAAAGGGGATGGTCACGCCGCAATCCCTTCTCCTCCATTCTCCTCTCGGGATCTTGGGCACGCACGCACACGTGCCCGGCGTGAGTTTAAGCTACTGGGTCTAGGACTCGAACCGCGGTCGACCATGTGGAAGTCCAGTGACATAGCCATTATGCTAACTGCTGGTCCCTGCCCTTGCCCTTTATAAATCAGTAATTTTTTAAAAAACATTTGTTTAATTAAATTAATTAACTAATTTATTTATTTTAATTTGACCAGAGAGGGACAGAGAGAGAGGGAGAGTGAGAAAGCAAGCTGCCAGGTCTGGGACTTGAACTATGGTAGGCCACGTGGGAGTTTAGCACCCTTAACCATCATGCTACCTGCTGGCAAATCAGTAACATTTTAATTTTATTTTTAATCAATTTTTGAGAGTTTTTTGCTATAGGGCGCATGCACACTCGCCAGAAAGAGAGAGAGAGAGACAGAGGTGGGAACCAGCAGTTAGCGTAATGGCTATGTCATTGGACTCCCACGTAGTCGACCGCGGTTCGTGTCCGGGACCTGGTGGCTTAAAACTCACGCCGGGCGCGTGTGCGTGCGTGCCCAAGATCCCGAGAGGAGAATGGAAGAGAAGGGATTGCAGCGTGACCATCCCCCCTGGGGGGTGATTTCTCGCTTTCTGTCTCTATGTCTCTCTCTGTCTGTCTGGCGGTGCATGTGCCCTGTAGCGAAAACCTCTACAAACAAACAAACAAACAATAAATAAATAAATAAATAAAACCAAAAAAAAAAGAGAGAGACAGAGAGACAGCAAGAAACCCCCCCCCACAGGGGTGATGGCCACGCCGCAATCCCTTCTCCTCCATTCTCGTCTCGAGATCTTGGGCAAGCATGCACATACGCCCGGTGTGAGTTTAAGCAACCGGGTCCAGGACGCAAACCACAGTCGACCACATAGGAGTCCAGTGACATAGTCACTACATCAACTGCTGGTCCCAATTTTTAACTTATTTTTAAAGAATTATTTATTCATTTAATTCCATTTGTTATTTTTATTATTATTAATTTTTAATTTGACCAGAGAGAGAAAGAGAGAAAGGGAAAGCAAGAGAGCAAGCCGCCAGGTCCAGGACTTGAACCACAGTTGGCCATGTGGGAGTCCAGCACCTTTAGCCACCATGCCACCTGCTGGCCTCTGTTTATTATTTTTTTTAAGAGAGATTTTAATTATAGGGTGTGTGCACTCGCCAAAGAGACAGAGAGTGACAGAAAGTGAGAAATCACTCCTTCCAGGGGGCATGGCCATGCCACAGTCCCTTCTCAGTTCTCCTCATGGGACTGTGGACACACGCACACACACACACACACACACACACACACGGCAAGAGTTTTAAGCTGCTGGGTCGGGGACTCAGACTACAGTCAACTACGTGGGAGTCCAGTGACATAACCATTACGCCATCTGCCAATCTCCAGTAATAGTTTTAAAATCTAAGTCAATTATGCTCTTTCCTACTTAAAATATTTGAGTGAGGACCCAGCAGGTGGTGTGGTGGTTAAGGCGCTGCACCATCCCACATGGCTGACCACAGTTTGAGTCCCGGACCTGGTGGCTTGCTTGCTTATTTTCCCTCTTTCTCTGTCTCTGTCTCTCTCTGTCTCTCTCTGGTCAAATTTAAATAAATAGATGAATAAATAAAATTAAATAATCATTTAGAAAAATATTTGAGTGACAGGCCAGCCACAGGCATGGTTGTTAAGAAGGCTGGATCCCCCATTACTGCGTAAGTTCAAGTCCTAGACCCAGTGGCCTGAGAAACATGGTGGGCTTGTGTGCCTGCCTTCCTAAAATCCTGAAAGAAGAAATAGAGGAGAAAGAATTGCAGCGTGCCCATGACCCTGGGGGATGCTTTCTTGCTTTCTCTCTCCCTTTCTCTGTCTCTCTCTCTCTGGCGAGCACACACACCCTCTGGCAAATTAAAAAATACAGATATTCGAGTGGCTTTTCATTGTACTTGGGATAAATCTGAACTCCTTGTAAAGAGGAGCCCACCAACTTGTATCTCTCTTCATCTTCAGTGCTCCCACTAGCCTGGACTCCCTGCTGTTCTAGAACATGACAAATACTCTCTCAGCACCTCTGCACTTCCGATTCCCTCTTCCGGGAATGCTTCGCTCTGCTCTGAACCTAAAGTGGAGCCCTTGGTTGCCTGGTGGTTAAGGCAGCAGATCTCACATGACTGACTGCTCGGTTCGAGTCCCAGACCTGGTAGCTTGAGAAGCACATTGGGCTGCGTGAGTCCCAGACCTGGTAGCTTGAGAAGCACATGGGCTGAGTGTGCGTGTGTACCCAAAATCCCAAAAGGAGGTAGACAAGGGAGTGCAGTGTGACCAGTTCCCCACGCGGAGTGTCTTCTCTCTAGTTCTCTCTGGCAAGTGTATAGGGCCTTCTCACAAAAACAAAAACAAAAACA